CTCTCTCCTCCCACTCCTCCTCTCTCTCTCTCCCCTGTGTGCCTTGAATCTGTAATCGTCCTCTCCTCACCTTCGTATACCATGGCTGTTTTAAATGAGGTAGGCCATCTTCTTCATTTCCTCATGGCAAACAAAACTGGTCCTCCATTCATCCTTTGTTGCCTGCATTATTGTGCGAAATACTAGAACTTAGCAGCCCTTAGTCTGCTTCCTACCTTTGTTCCATTGCCCCTTTGTTGGGACCATAACTCCAAAACATCTGAGAAACCCTGTATGTGCAGGATAACAAAAGCCCCAAAATTTTTAGTTATGGTCCATTGGATTTAATCATCTGTAGATTGGTTAGGTTTTCTGCACTATGAATCAGTTTGACTTGATACATTGATGGTGATCTAGAGAGGTTCATATAGAAAAATGAATATTGGGTTTTCGATTATATGACATATTGTCAAGTGGGAAGAGTATTTTCAGTTCTTTTTCCCTTTCCTTAGTGGCTATTTGTTCTTGAGTTCTGGATACCCTTTTCTTCATTTGGCCCTAATATGCATATTATTTTGGTGAAATTGTCATGCTGATTTACTTGCAGTTATTTCATTAAGGCTAAAGTTCAGGGTTTATTTTTTGTTTTCATATTGGGAGTTGCAGTAAATGTGATTACTGCTGCCATGTGTAGTCAAATGCTGTACTCATCACTGTTAGAGGTCATTCTCTTCGGCTGAATTCGTCAAAATTATGATCTACTCGGCCTGTCTCTTAAGCTGATCTGCGCAGCCTCTATGTTGGGCTGGTCTTTTGTTCCGTATACCGATGTTTGAGTAATACAATTAACACTTACTTCCTATGAGAAGCTCCTTTTCTGAGGATCCGTTGTACTTTTCTGGCCCATAAGAAGCTCCCTTTGCGGGGAGTCTGATCAGAATACCGGTCTAAATCTATCCACGAAAAAAATCAATGTTCTAGAAAATTTCTTCTGTGGGTTTTAGTGCTGGCTGTGATATGCTCAGGTCTATGCATTGGGATTCAGGAATATACTGACATGGTTGTGTAAATAGAGGATGTATAGCCAGGCATGTGACCTGTGTGAAGCAACTGGAGCATGTACACAAATACTGATCTTAGTTGAAAGTGGGTCCTCCAAGTATCTTTTTTAGTACAGCTTCTCTAATCAGGTTCACTGTGACAAGCTACTGGGACAAACTCTGTTCACGTTTCTCATCTCCGTGTTCAAGGCTTTTTAGCAGGAATTCCTTGTTCAAGCCTTTGTAGCAGGAATTCAGGGATGATGCCTGTAAGCGACAAACAAATCTTGACATTAATGCCTAACAAGAGCACAGATGAACCCACAATGTATAAGTATCCATTTTGTTCTACTCATAATGCTTTTGTTTGTTGTCTTGGTCATTTGTGTTTTTACAAGTGAATGCTTATTTTCCCTTGTTTTCCTCAATGGTATCAGTAATTCAAAAATCAGATATACAAGAGATTTTCTTCTATCATTTTGGGAATTAGACTCGTGCAAAAGGCTACCAACTGGAATTGATCCTTTGATTCTGAGGTACAATGATTCTTTGGATTTTCTTTTATTTTGCCTCTGGTTATAGGAGGTGTCTCACTCATTTTTGCACTTTCGTTAGCAGTGAATGCCAAGAGATCACCCAAAATGTACCAGAGTGGCGCCGAGCACCAGCTCCAATCTCTTGGGCAGATAATTCTTCTGGTTATTCACGTGGAAGCCTCGATAGGAGTTCTAGGCAGGCCTCTGGATCTGGGTTGAGCCAAGGAAGGTGGGAATCTCGTTCTGGATTGAGTGATAGAGATGCCAGTCAGCAGATGGACCGGGATTCAAGTACTCAAGGTTTGATCATTTGTAATTGTTCGAGCTTTGTCATTATCATGTTGTAATTAATTCTCTTTTTGGTTTTGTGTACCATCTTGAGTTGCAACCATAGATAAGAGTCCTTGTTAGTTTTTTCTGAAGGCCATTTTAATGCATTTCAACTGACTGCATCGATCAAAGCTTAGTAGACTATGACTGTAATAGGAGGTCAAGTGAATTTTTGCGTAGTGCATGACGTTATGACATCTCATATGTCTATTGTTTTTGACCTTGATGTAGAAGATTTATTTCTAAGTTTGTTTGGCTATAAAACTTTGTTTTTAACTGGGTTGGATTGATATGAATTAGCATTCCAATGAACAATTTTAAGTTCTAGAATAGTTGATGTGGGATATCTTTTGAGACAATGAGGGCTTCATTTGTTCAGCCTGATACAGTTAATCTGAAAAAAATGGAGGATTCTAAGTGATTGTTGATGACTCTACCAAGGAATTATATACACTCAAAATTTGTTTATAGTGCATTTGTAAATGAGATTCTTAACTTGCTTTGGAGGATTCAAGACTTTGTGAAATTTTGATAGTCTAGGTTTGTAACTTCAAAAGATAAACGTTAGTAATTCTGCACAAGACATATGTGCAAAATGTAGAGCTCTACGGCTGTGCTGTGATTAGAGTCCAAATCATTTAAATATTATGAAGTTTCATCAACCACCAAACTTCTTGAAGGAGTTTAAAATCATGTATATATCATTAAATTTAAGCTTTAGAACAATCAGAAGGTAACTTGTAGGATCAAGGCGGGGGTTGACTCCTACACAAGTATAACATGTTTGGAGGGCTTAGAAAGATGAGCTAGGGCCAGGGAAGTTTGGGTTATTATGGAAAGCAAGGTCAGGGTTTTGTTTGATTTGGTTTTAGGATTTGGCTATGATGGGAAGAAGTCTTGGCTTTCGGTTTTGAAGGGCTTCTACTATAAGCACGAGATGATGATTTGAAGCCTGAGGAAGGTAGGGAAGGAGTTAGAGTCATACGAAATGGTTTGGAGGGCTCCGAGCAACATTTAGGGTGGGTTTTACGGTTCGCACCAACACCAACCCAAAACCAGGAATCATGGAGTGAACATCATGAAGGACGCATCAACACCTCTTGATTGAATCAGCACCATCAAGCTAAAGCAAACAATATTCTCAAATGTCAAACCGATGATGTCCATTACCTACTATATCTATTTATAGAGTTCAAGCTTTTTATCTTCTTAAAATGGAAGTTAAGAAAACCATAAATCTTTCCTAAATTTATCCTTTCCAAGATTAAGGAATTAGTCCTTTATAATTTTAGGAAACTAGCCTTGGTACAAAAATTAGGAAGGTCACATCTTTTAGAACTCCTGTATAACAATGTAGAAAGCCAACTCCAACTACTGATTTGGAACGAAGAAACTTATTAAAAAGAAATAAAGAATAATAGAATGCATATCTTCCTAATCAAATTAAATCTAAACTCCTCATTAATCCTAAAATTTGTCACTAATAATTCCGTTGAAATTTTGACCATGATTTGAAAGCTTGAAACATCTTTATTTTGGAAAATCTGTAAGAAATATGGGTTATAGTTTTCAAAAAGATCTTGGATGTGAGATTTGGATCGCCCCAAAAAGGCATTTGGTGGAAGAGTTAAGTCCCACTAAAGCTTTTTGCATCAAAACTTGCTGATATTGATGGATTATAAAAAGAAATATCTACGTCTGTCATAGAACTTTATATTTTCATTGCTTTAAGTGGGACTTTCAATTGATGTAAAATAGTATTTAGGGAAACATATTATGGTGGTTGGGGCAACATATTATGGTTTTTTCTTCTTTTTGATTTTGATGTACAGTTCCAAGCACCTTACATGTGGGATACTGTCGCCCACATCTCATGGGTTTTTGTAAACCATAAACACTTAGTAAAGGTTTTTGTTCACCATTAACGACCAATTTGGAACGAAGAAACATATTAAAAAGAATAACAAAACTCATATCTTCCTGATCAAATTAAACCTAAACTCCTCATTAATACTTGAATTTGTTACTAATGATTCCATTGTACTTTTGATCATGATTTGAAAGCTTGAAACATCTGTAATAAATATGGGTTATAGTTTCAAAAAGATCTTCGATGTGAGATTTGGATCTCCCCAAAAAGGCATCTGGCAGAAAAGTTAAGTTCTTCTAAAGCTTTCTGCATCAAAACTTGCTGATATTGATGGATTATGAAAATAAATATCTACGTCTTTCATAGAACTTTATATTTTCATTGCTTTAAGCGGGACTTTCAATTGATATAAAATGGTAGTTTGGGAAACATATTATGGTGGTTACGGCAAGATATTATGGTTTTTTCTTCTTTTTCATTTTGATGTACATTTCCAAGCACTTTACATGTGGGATACTGTCGCCCACATCTCATGGGTTTTTGTAAACTATAAACCATTAGGTAAGGGTTTTTGTAAACCATAAACTATTAGTTAATGAAAGAAGTTTATATATGCATGAGGCCCTAAATAATCAACTTAACGTGCACCTCAAAGATCCACAAGAAGAGGTTGTTTCGATGCACAAAAATACTCAAATCAATCATCTCGACCTCAAGATAAATGGACATGACAAAAATAGATTTCAAGTCTTGGAAATAGTGCATCTTGTAATGCATTTTCTAGACCTTCAATTTTTAAGATTTTTAAGTGTTTATAGATCTGCTCGATCTACACTATTTTTGGAGCTTTAAATTTTATAATTAGAGATGAAAATAAATTTTTAGACCATCACAAATATTTCGAGTACTGAAATAACATCTTTCAACATTATTTGAAGGTGTGCCTTACTTTGATTGTTTAGGGCCTCAACCTTATACAAACCACATCCTTAGTTAATATATTGTCACCTTTATTTTATTTAGAAAAAGGAAAACATTATGATGGTTAGCACGAGAGGGTTGATATTTGAGTAACATACCACATAGTTCTCTAGCAATTCCAATTGGCAGTTGATTGTTGATGCATGAACAAGTTCTTTAGCCTAGTTGATTATTGATGCTTGAATGCATTGTTGATGGAGTTTTCTTGATTGATATGTTGATCTGTATATGTGAAAATAAGTTTCTGGAATTTTGTTTTTCTCACTGAAGGCACCTTGTGTGTGTATTGTGTGCTCATACTCACCACTAGAAATTCTATATTTGGGTTTGTTAATATGACTACTATTAAGGAAAATCTTGTATCAAAATCATGAGGAATATCCTATTTTAATTGTTACTATGGAGGTGAGAGATAGTTCCTTTATTAGTCAAATACAGAGAGGATAATTGCGGTAGCCCATGTGTCTTGATACACAAAATATAAAAAGCAAGATAATCCTTGCTGGAGAATCCCCTGGATAAATGCGTTATTACCATATAATTTGTAGGCTCCTGTATGACTAAATTGTTGTTCTTTCTTTGACATGTCTTTGATAGTATGTCTCTAACAATTTGGGTGTCTTCTATATGTGTAATCTCCTTGTAAATTGGAGGAACTACAAATTTTCTCTTATTATTGCAATTCATATCCATTACATTGATAAAAGATCTGATCTAGAAGAGTTCATTGTTAGCCTTAGCATTTGCGTTTGTGGGGGCAAACATGCTTATAGCATTAGGGACCTTCAAAACAGCCCTCATTACTTTCCTGCACCTCTCTTCTCTCTGAAGAAGAGCATTGACATCATTGATTGATGATTATTGAAAAAAAAAACAGATGTCATTGATTGATGGTATTTTCTCTGTGGATATTATATGTTTATGAACCATCTCATAATCATTTAAGGCCAGCACAGTGTTTGAACATATGCCTCTTCTCAACTTGTCGTTGCCATGCCAAAGGCTAGCCAAGCACATACATTGTGAAGGCTCATAGTGTTTGAGTTCGGCCGACATACTTTTGATCCCTCTACAATGCTCTGATAGAAATGGCTTTCCTTGAGAGCATAAGGCTATATTGTATACATCCGACACTTCGGACAATATTATCTTTTTGGGGAAAAACTTCTCTTCTAAAGTGTCCTAGATTTCTTGGGCTGACTCTAAGAGCAACAATCCATTTCTCATGGTTACATCTATAGAATGGCAATTCCATGCCATAACAAGTGAATCTGATGCTATCCACTCTTCATACTTAGGGTTAGAAGGATCTTGGCATTTGGATGTTCCATTCAATATTGAAAAATATGGATTCGGCTGCCTAGTCGGGTGCCTAGTTCACTAGGCAGAGTCTAGGTCCCATGGAAATTGTTTAGAGGGGTTTGGTTGCCTCTAAATTATCTTAGAAATATTTTTTAGAAATACCAGTAAAACACATTATCTAAGTCTCCAATACACTATATTACTAGAAGTCGAAAAGTCAAAAAAATAAAAAGAAAAAGAAAAAGATGCCCAATAGGGCATGATTATACCTGTTTTCGAAAATCAACATTCCACAATATTGGTTCATCATAGGCAAGTGAAACAAAGAAAACAAAAAAAAAGTCCCAACTTCATACTCCCACCTCCCAACATTACATCACATGTGTTCATGGTTTCAGATTGGTAATTGAGTTTCGACATCACTACCAACAATGTCTTGCTGTCCACCACGTCCACCACCAAAGCCGCCATTTGATGATGATGATGCCAGCCATCATCATCAGAGTCGTCTCCCTCTACATATTCTTCGTCTTCCCTAGTCTCCTGTGAATCTGCCTCATCCTCCTCCCTCACTTCTCATTCTCTTCCGACGAGATTGAGATCTTGTGGCCCTCATGGGGCTTAATTGACTTCCATCTGCCTGCTGTACTTGTCTCCAAAGTGAAGTCTGCTCCTTTGAATATGGGATCATCTCTGGCATCAACCAACCACTCGGATGTATCATCCATCTCACTAATAATGATGGAGTCAATGGCATCCCTTTCTAGGTAATGTTCCTTTGAGCTTTTGATTATACAGAACAAAAACGAGGTTGTTT